GGAAGAAATGCGCAACTGAAATGACATATTTTTCAACCAACTGTCGTTCATTACACGATGTATGATTCAAATGAAGCTAAATGAACTTAAAATTTCGCATTTGTAATCATTGAAGCTTTCGGAATAGCAAAATCAGAGAAATAATTTGAAAAGGCTCACTCTATATAAATAGCTAACATTAGATCCAACTATATATCTATTAAATCTCGAAGATTATTCTGCAGTAAGAGTAATAAATATATAATAAGAAGCTGTATGTGATTTATTTTAGCTTTAACATTAAAAGGAAAACTCTGTTTGTGTTTCATTCTCATAATTTCTATAATTTCAAACAGTATAAAACATAATTATATTTGAAAGATGAAACTGCTATAAGAAAAACCACCAAAAAAAACAATCGAAAAAAATCAGAACTTCTTGATAAGCATTACAAAGAGTATGAAACCTTGCGACAAACATTCCAGATGAAAGTGATGTTAACAAAACGTATATCCTAGCAATACCGTTCCCGAACCGTGAGCAGAGTGCTCGATACATTTTTATTTCAGCACCTACGTTGAACAATCCCAGTAAACAACGCATTGTAATGAAAACGCTTGTTTTGTTAGCGAAAAATATCTTTTTCAGTATTGCAGCGGGTCCGTAATGCATTAATATGTATAAATAAGATCTGGAATTTGAATTTTTTTTAAAAAAAAATTTTGAACAAATTTTCTTTTCTCAGTGCAAACAAATAGTGAAAGCTATTTGAAAAAGAAAAGAAAGTAACGATAATCACTAATAATCTTAATTATGGAGGTGATAGTTAAAACAATTTTAACATTTACCACATTATCAGCGCTGGACCTCGAAGATAATCAGAAATACAACCCGGACAGCTAATTGTCATTTGACATTGTGACGCTTAATCTCGGATTATGATAGAACATATTTCAAAAATATTGAGATTCTGATGCTATACTACACTCTGTTGGCTTCAGTTGAGAAAAAAGCGATAGCCTGATGCTCCAAAGACATGAACTGATAATAATCAGTTCCATAATTACTGCATATATATTAGTATCGAAGAAATGTGAAATAGCATTACTGGCCGTTTCCGGTAACGCAATATTATTCAAGCCTTTGCATTTTGTTCTTGACACATAGCTGTATTACCAATAATGGATAATAAATTTCAAAGCAGAAAAAAGAAACGGCTATTAACGGCTCTCATCTATAAACATGTAATGCGATACTCTGGATTATTGGAATATGATACCAGAAATGAATCTGTTAATCTGAATGCAAGAACAAACCGTATAGCATAAAGTGGTGAGTATTCCCACGTCTGAAAACCGGTGCCGTAAAGAAATAAATGAAGAGGCTCCCAGTAATTGTATACTTCATCGCAATCGCTTATTATACTCCACATTGCAGCGGAAATTCGAAAGGAGAATATAATCTGGAAAAGGAATTTTCCCGTTCCTTAAGTCATATTTGTAATAATTAGTACGAGAATAGAAAATTTTTTAGTGATTAAATCAATTTGACGTTGGGATAATAAAGAACAATCAGAGGGTCGACTGATCGGTATATAAAAAAAGGATTTTCCCATGAATGTGGGAAAAATATCACAGGGATAAATGAGAAGTGTGAGTGATGTAATGGGATTCGACAAAGTAAGCTCATAAATGTAACTCATTAAATCATATAATATTCTATTCGTTCTACTATTTAATAAGCTGTACCGCTTAAAAAATAAAATCAATAAAATAAGAATATCAAACATGGATGCTAAAAGAAATACAATAATTTATAAATAAAATACCATGTCACACCGTAATGCCAATTTTTCAAAGCATATCAAACCGAAAAACTTAAGCAAAAAAAAGAAGAAAATAAAAAATAAATCTAAAATTTTAAAAAATATAGCAAAAATTGAAATTTTCCAAAATTTTGAAAGATTTAACAATTTCAATAGAAAAAATCTTTAGTTTACTTTTAATCAAAACTAAAGTTATATATTTTTAGATGAAAATTTTGAATAACTCAAATTTTAATTTCTTACATTAAATTGAAATGATGCCGAATTGTTACTCAATTGTTCACATTATTTATTAAGGCCTGGTTTGTAGATACTGAAATGGTAAATATTCAAATCAAAATTCCATATTTCCAACATATCCATGATTGCTGTAACTGTAAATTAAGGATCATCTGATACTAATGATGAACAGTTTCGTTGATTGTTGCCTCCATTTGAATGAAAATAATTCCATTATAAACAGATTAGTTTTTTATCGTCCAATAAAACAGTAATTAATTATTGCTGTAAGAGAATTCGATAATTGCAACTGCCATTGTGTTGACAGTATTTCTTTGATGATTACGGTGACAATTGTTTGCATAGAGCAAATAATATGTAAAATGAAAGATCAGAGTTAGAGAAAGGAAATTAAATTGTTAAAGCGGAAATCAACTCTGTTTACCACATGTCAATCATTTTGTTACTTTTCACTTCATCCATGGCATTGAATGAATGTTATCCTTTAAACTTTCTTGTTATGGTCAAGGGCAAATTCATGCAAAAAGTCTAAAAAAACATTTAAAGACTCATAACCTTTAACCTTTATATCTTAATTTGTAAGAGGGCAAAAGTTATCGGTGTTAGCACAATTTTCCAATGCAAATGTTTTGGGATGAATTGACCAGAAATTGAAGTTTCTTGGCCGGTTTAAATTGCATCTAAATCACGCGAATCTTCAAGTAAGAAATTGAAATATATACACATATAAATTTTCAGCTCACCATATAATATTAGTAATAAACAATATGCAAAATAGTTTGAAATTTAACTTCTGGGTCCGTAAACACCTCCTAATAATGTTCCCGAACTAGAAATTAAAGACCAAACTTTTCTGTTTTTATATTTATGGTAATCTTACTAATATAATTGTAGCCATTTTCACAATCTTCAAAGAGCACTTGATCGTGACCTTAACTGATTGGCATGAAAAGATTGATGATTTTTGCTCTGCTTTGAATATGTGATTTGATTGCTTATTTAAAGGGTAAGCATTAGTTATCTATCTTGAAATATTCAGGCAACTTTTATAAAAGATTATGCAAGTTTATCACAACCAAATGGTTTACTTTTAATAATTTATACTTTTTAAAGAAAAAACTTCTTGATAGAAATAATTATAAAAGTTTATTTCATCTTTTGTTTAAAAAATTAATCGGATTTAAAAGAGTAATATAATATGCCGATAAGTTCAATGGCTTTAAAATAATTTGCAAGTTCACATCTTTTTTGAAAAGAACAAAATTTTATCAATATGTAGTTTAACTCGCATACTGTATTATATGTTGATGTTATATGTTGACTAGCATACTGTATTATATGTTGATATTATATGTTACAGGATATTTTATGATTTTATAGTAGATAGTTCAGGTCTGTTTGTTTCAAAGTGATTTTAAAAATTAACACTTTCTGTTAATTATTTTTCAATTACTTTTTGCAATTCTTCATCTTGTCGAAATTTATCTTTATCTCCAATTGAAACTGACCACAAGCTGTAATCATCACTTCATACAGTAATATTAGTACTAATTTCGATACTTATAGCAATATCAGTTATTGTTGCTGTTAATATATTGTATTGACTTAAAGTCAATCTTTAAGTTCACTATTGCTCGTAATTCAGACAGTCACGTTCACTTCATGAACAGATTTTTTTTAACTCAAATCAACAACAAATGAGATTTTTCCATGATTTGAACTTTTGAATGCAAAAATTAATTGTCGTTTATTCTCACATCTTAGCTAAATATCAATTTGAAATTAAAAGTAAATGTATTTGTAGCACTCAATATTTCCATAAAATTATTAAAAGTAAATATGAGCTAATCATTTTCTTAGTTGGATGATAAAATCCTTTATAAAACATTTATAATTTAACAGATCGGATTTGCGAACCTTCAGAATAGCTATTACACCTATATGGCACTCTTCAGCATTAATTCGATTGACTAAATAAATTTAATAGCGATTTCCTATATAGTGGATAGTAACGATGATTAAACCACCGAATATTAATATCTTTGTAATCACAATCTCCCAACTACTGATCAATTATCAGAATACCTTGCATGATTGTAGCCATTGATGGGACAGTAATAAAGATAATGAAGAAAGCGACTAAACAAGAAGTCATTTCCAAATTTCAAAGAGTGAATGAAAACTGTGAAAATTTCTAAAAACCAATCAGAAACAAACATCAAAAGTTTTCATTAGAAAATTATATTACGAGTGATAAAATATTTTTCAACGAATTCTTATGAACTTAACCAATTAGTTTCGCTAATTTTTTCCTTGAATATGATAAATGTTTTACGCTTCAAATATATCTGCCATTTTCTATTCAATTAATTTATCAATGAATGATACCTTTGAAATCTCGGATAAATTAATAACTCATTCATCATTATGTACACTTTCATTTTTAATAGGAAATTATGCTCAATTTCCAAAAAAAAAACATATGGAATTCAGGGGTCTCAAAAAAGTATCAGAAGCAGAAAAAGGTTAATCTACCGCGTGCTGGTTCAAAGTTTGAAAGATCATCTAATAATAAAATGAAAGTCTGCAAGACAAAATTTATCGGTACAATTTGATAGAAAATATTTTCCCAAAATAAATTAATACAGCAGTTCCATCAACCATTTCAAGTTGTCTGTACTCAAACTTTTAAGAAAAATATAAGCTTATTAAGGCAAATGACATCCGTGATACTTTTTGTATTTATGTTTGGGATTATATACAAATATAAGACATAGCTTATCATCTCAAATAATTGATAGTGAGGGAGTTATAATGTCGAAATATCAATCCTTTAAATATATTCCAGAGCCTTTGATGCTCATCAAATTCACATAATCAATCTAGCATTAGTTTTAGCTAACAAAAACTATTACATTAAAACAACTATTACATTAAGTACAAAAAGAAAAATTTACTATTCGTACTTTGGTAAATCATCAAGTAATGAGGATGAGTTCACAATTGAAGTTTTCATCAGTGTTTCAACGAAATCCTTGTGCTTACGCAGCGACAAAATACATCTCCTGCTCTGTGCTTGCCTAACCACATATTCCAGAACGATGCAACACTGCCGAGCAAATGTACGTCGCTGCGCGATATCATTTTCAATTAGAAGCAAACCAACGGCCAAGAATAAAGCAGTGAAATCAATGTGCGATGAGCATCTAAAAATGTAAATGAATTAGCACAATAAATAATGATTTATGTTAAATTACTGTAAAATATGTTAACCGACGATGATCTGTGCATTTTCTTTTCCGATTCATTATCATGTGCAATTAAATTACGAACTAATGCAGTTATACTTGTCGTTTCTCGAAAAGAATTTTAAAATATAATTTCTGTGAAAGTACACTTCTATTTAATGGTCATTTCACCCCGTACATATATTTCTAAAGTATTCGCGAAAATTCGTGTTATAACTCACCTCTCTATGAAATACGGTAGTTCAATAATAAGTGCTCGCTTCACTTTCCAAAATATATCGGATTTTAACAAACTCACTGCCTGCTCAACATGATTAGACAATTCGACTGAAGAAATAGAACGTAGAATTATTTAGTAACAGAAAGACTGACAAATAAAAAAATGTTTCGCGGTTTGTCAAAACCTCCCATATTCCAGAAAAATAAAATTCAGAAAAGAAGTAAATGATACGTTAAAGATGAAGAACAGAAATAGAATGCTTTCTTAGCATTTATTTCCAATTTCTCTCGATCTAAACTCTCATTCATCCATTTTTAACAGCATATGCCAAGCAGTAAAGAGCAAGCACTTGTTCCTGGCAATATCGCTACAACTTATGTAGCCATTATAATGAGAGAAGTCTTTTCACTAGATAAGCCAGTGAAAAGACTCCTGTTTTATGTAGCAACTCTCCAATTAAAGGCATGATCAAAGATATGATCAACGGAACTAAAATTAGCGAGAAAGAAAAATTTATCCATTCCATGGATTAGAGAAAGCTATTTTTCAGATCAAAAATGGAGTTCATTGACTACAGATTCCAAGTCATAGTTGAATAAAAAACAATGAAGCTAAAGCAACAGGAAAAGGGGATAATCGGTAAAACGGAAGAATTTGTTTAAGCTTCTCAGAAAAGTCAATGTTTGTAAGATTATTATTTGCCTAAAAATTCCATCTCTCGTGGAAAGCTTTTAACAATGCCTTGAGTTCTAGAATATTGATATAATTGAGGAATCAAATGTTAATCACAATATTAACTGAATGACAAAAAGAAAAACTGAATATGAATGCAACAATGAGAAATACGAAAAACAAAGAAACTGAATAACTTGACTGACTAGTGCATTCACTCAAACACAAGAAAACCTCACTTCGAAAATTGCAGATTCTAAGTTTTTAAATAAAATTACGACCAATTATTAAGAGTAAAGGATATGCAGCATTTTACGCCTCAAACGAAACATATATAGTATTGGAAAAAATGTAATTTATGATTTGAAAAAAGATCTTTTTCAGTGCATATGGAACAAACCTCCATGAAAAGATAATAACAAATGAGCAATTGTCGGCACAATCTTCACCAGATAATCATGAGCTTTCAAATTATTTGTATCACTTACGTCGCTGGTAATATTGTCGGAACTCGGCCTAAATATTTCTATGTTTCAAAAGTCCGATACAAAATTAATGATTTTTTTTGGCCTACAAAAATGATTGTAATGGAAAAATCGTTCTTTGTCAAGCTTTACTTTCGTTACTTTATTGAATTGATGTTTTTCCAGCAAAAAATTTAAAAAAAAAACAAAATTCGCACTCTGAATTATTGAAGCTTATGATATTACAGACACATGCCATTAGTTGTTGAGCAATATTATTACAACCGGTCATTTCGCAAAACACTGCAGCACACAGAATAGCCTCTCCGCTATATTTCTCATTTTTTTTCGAACACTGCTCCCATAAAGGTAAAAATTTCTATAAAAAAGATTTCTCCATCATTAGATAAAATGAATATTATAAACTAATCTTGGATCACTGGTTCTAATGATCGCCAACATTACAGCATGTTCTTTGGGATAAAATTAAATTGCAACTTTAAAATTATAATACATATACTAATATATGACCAACTTTACATAACATGTTGGTTGTGATAGACTCATTTATCGCAGTTTTTTTATCAATGCTTCATCCGCTTGCGAATTGCTTTGCAAAATATATATTTGCAAATAAAGTATTTTATTAGTCTCGCTTCATATGGTTTAAACCAGAAGTGAATACTGACATAAACTTGAATAGTAAATATACCGTCTTAACAGTAGTTTCGTCCCACTTTGAGGCTAAAATTTTCCCTGCTGAACGTAATAAAGCACTGATTGCTTCGATTACCTTTTCTTTGCCGTCCCATATTCGGCCGTGTAGCACGCTTGTTAAATTATCATAGAGCATTTCTGAAAGAATATGCAGTAAATTCTCATTTAATAATTCACACTCATCTTAACTGTTATCTTTTATCATTTTCCTATTTTGCTTACTCATAATTTACTTGCTTTAGCTTAGCGAAAGAAACATGGAAATCACCAATGTGGGAATAATAGGCTCAAGTTGTATATATTTTTCTTCTTCCTCTTATTTGATTTTGCAGCGTAAAGTCATTTCGCATTTGTTATAAAATAATTATTTACAATGGATTAATTTCAAAAATTGACAAATTCATGTACTGATTATTTTGCCTCTTCCAAAACTAAAGCAACAAACAAACCAGCACAGTTAACATCATCCTTGAGAACACCAGATTCAGCAATTGCTGCAAGTACCTTTGCTGCTTGTGTTTTCAATGCAAAAACAGAACTTGTGTTTAGTGTAACCAAAGCCATCTCAATCATTTCCTCACGATACAAACGTATGGCAGACGAAGTATCTCCAAAGAATTATATATTTATCAAATTATTATACTTCTTAAGAGACTAATATTTCTTAACAGTCCTTAGCAGATTGAATTCAGTTTGGAAACGAATTTTATTAAAATATTTCATCATTCACTCCAATGAGTCTTTAATTTTATTAAGATGAGTGTGAATTATTAAAAAAACGAAACAAAAAAAAAAACATTAGCTAAGACAAGGAGAGAGATATAGGATAGTACCTGGAACTAATTCGGACCATAATTCATCCCACATTTCAAGCATCTTTTTCCCCGCTTCATCATCTTTGGCAACTAAAAAATTATATAAATTTTTCTAATTTCCTTCTATTTCATTCTTCGAATTATTTTATGTCAGAAACAGATGAATATCTAGAAAAAATTACTCTTCAGAATCGTCACGACCTTAACCATAATAAAAAATTCGTTAGAAACTTTATGGTAAAGAATTTCATTGCTTTTAGGAAAACTGCTAATAAAATCAGACTATTAATTTTGAACTGAAAAGTATCCCACCAAAACCTGGAGTGAAAAAAATTGAGCAAGAATAAAAAATTCCATCCACAGAGTTCACGAATAAGTCCCAACAAAAAGCTAAACCAAAATCAAATAACAAATATAAAGACTTTAAAACATCAATGATATCGAAAGACTCACCTTCCTGACACTTATAAAGAAATATAAATGGAACAATATCGATCAGTGAATTAGAAAGAATTTCACTATTTCTTGATAGAAAACGCAAAAGATGCAACACGGTCACTTTCTCTTCATCTGAAACACAGCCTGCCAGTAATTCAAATAGCAAATTTTCAGAAAAACTTAAAATGTAAAAAATTTAACAAATTTGGCAACATCCCTTCGAAAAACATATGTTTTAAGAATCTTATATATCTGTTCATTTATATATTCGGCGAGAGCTGCTCAATTTCTTTCGTCTTGCACTCAGTTTACCTTGTTCACTTCGTAATTTCTGTTTTATATAATCCATAATCCGATTTACTTCTTTTTTCGAAGAAAAAGGCAACAAATATGATAAGCAAGATGAAAACTGTTTTTTGATTACTGGATTACGATCATTTAGGCCATTAAGAAGAACGCGTACTATTTTATCTAAAACATAAAATAGTAGTAAATGCATTGAGGAAAATTAAATTCTGGATGCAATGTCTTTTTCACTTAGCTATAATTCGATAAATTAAAAAGCTGGATTTGAAGTATCCTTTAATTTAAAACTATTTTACATCAAAAGAAATTCAGAAAAACGATGTTTTTATTCCCTTTAATGGTTTCACTATTTCATTAATATTAATATAAGAATAACAAAGCTTACAATACAATCTAAAAATCTAAAGAATGTACCACATGACGATTGACAAGCCATCATCAGATCCTGACGCTGAAAGCACAAATCGATGATAAACTGACAACTTCCGGTACGTGTTGTCACGCCAACACTAGAGCGTAATTGATCGACCAACTTATCACCCAAAGAATTAAAAACATCTTTATCGATATATGGTACAACGTAACGAAGAGCACTCATCATGGGAGAACTATGTGCTGCTGACATACGAGCTGAGTCCAGCTTAAATAAATTTTTACAAAGTATGTCCGGAACTGATCAATTCTATAAGATAGGTAGAGCATCGGAGACAGACAATAAGATTGAAAAATATGTACTAAATAAAAGAAAAATAAAGTTATAGCGTGAGTACAGAAATCCTCAAAATTCTACTTCAAACTTCAATTCAGTATTAGGGAAGTCTTGCACAAAGCTATAATTCATTCTGCAATGTAAATTTCAAAAAGAAAATTCGGAAAATTTACCATTTCTAGTTCATCTAAGCTTGATCTAGCAGCAAGATAATTTAGAACTGTTGACTCCTCTTCACTCAGTGAATCTAGCAAACATGGCACTATTATATTTACATGTTCCTGCAGTGTCGAACCAGCTTCCTTTGCAATGTCCATGATCATTTTTAGGCTGAGAACTTGTGAATTACTAATGTGCAATCAAAAAATGAAAACTCTTTAGTCAGCAATGAATAAAGACATGCAAAACTTGGAGGATGTCTTGAAAAGCAAACCTCAACATTTTATTACTTTTGACGCTCGATCGAACTCCCTTCTCAACAATAACAGGAAGTATTATCCCAAGCAATCGAGTAGCTTTGCAACCATTGACTAGAGAACATCTGCATAGAGTAGCTTTAATGAGATTTGACAGAGCGCGTCGTGCTGCCATTCGAACTGATTCCTGAGCAATGGCAGGCACGTTAAACAAGCGTATAAAAAGTTCCGCATTCAGTTGCAATTTTTTAGAATGTCTTAAAACGGAATTAGACGTCTGATTCTTGCTGGATTGAAAGAATGGATAATGATGTTTCAATTATTTTTTGCTACCGGATAAAGTTGATATGAAACTAAGCACCTTTATATCATCCTGCACTCGGTACAATATTTCGAAAAGTTGATCAAAATGTTCCACCATTTCATTAGTACAATGTGCACTGAGCAAGTCTGCCAACGCCAGACAACTGAAAAAATCTCAGAAATATGAATAAGTATGAAGTTCTTGGCTTTAAATGAACTAAACAAGAAAAAGTAACAAGTCACTTGCCCAGTCATAACATCAAGACATTTTGGTCAAATCAAAGAAGGAAAAAGAAAGTAAAGGACAATAGAACTTCTATCGTAGTTAGATATGTGAAAATAATAAGCTCCATCGACACATACTCGAAAACAATGACAAACTGAGCATGGTACTTGAACACGGTGAATAAAAACCTCAATTTTTCTTTGTTAAAAAACTATAATATATCATACTATTTCATAAAATACTAAAAAGGAATTATATTCGATTTGTATCTCTAATTTAAAAAGGGGGAAAAAAAACTAATAATAAGACAAACCTCGACTCACGCGTTCGCCACTGAGGATCTGTAAGGGTTAATTTAAGCTCATTGAAAATGGCATTTGCATATTCTTCAACCTAAAATTAAAATGCGTTAGTGAAATATACATTTTACGATTTCAAATTTGTTGCAACCAGCTTTGTTACATTTAAATTTTGACTTTTAAATCATCATTATGGGTAGAATTGCATACTAATATCCCAATTGCCTTGGGTACATTAGATTTGTATTGCTTTGAAGGAATTATGAATTCAGATAATAATTTTATATGTAATGTATTAAGAAAATTATGCTTAGCATTCCAAAAAACATAAAATAACAGTCGAAACAATCGATGAAATTAATTCCAAAATCATAATAAAGAATCAAAAATATATTGGCTTCCATCGATTTAGAATATATGTAGAAACTGAAACGCACTACACTCTTCTTGGAAGCTGTGATCGCCTGCCAAATTGAACGCATAGCGCTTTGGACTTTCAAATCAGGATCGTATCGGTATCTGTACAGTTTGGGCACCAACTGCGCCAAATATGGCTCTATTGCACTTTTTGCCTTTTGCATTATAATACTGAAACCGAAAGCTGCACCCTAAAAAAACAACTTTTAAAAATCTTTATATTTTGTAAAAGACTTACGAAAGTAAATTTGAAAAGAAAACTTATTTTCTTGGAATTCCACAAAATATTGTAATTTGCAAGCTGCATAAATTTATATATGAGATCCGGTTGATTCAAATCCGTGGCCAAACTACAGAGTTCTTTATAAGTTGTTAAATTTTCCCTAAAAAAATGTAATTCCATCTTACGTTAGAATTGAAATAAGATGATAGTAAACATTCAAAATTACAAAAAAAAGAAAACATTAGAAAATAAAAGCATTAACTACCACAACAAGGCCCCCCAAAATTTAAGCTAGAGGCAAAACAAAACCAAATCTTCAAGCCCACCCCGTTGGCGAAGTACCCAATTCACCCTTCGCGAACAAAACAGTATCCGGTCCAACTGGATCGACTCGTTTTTGGCCAGCTGACAATGTATTAATCAGTTCTTCAACCATTACTTTCTTCTGCTCTTCAGAGCCCAATTCAAAAATAACACCAATGCCCTCGCTCGCAACTTCCTGCGAGAACTCTGTAATTTATTAATAGTGAAACACTATTTATGAATTTAAATTCGAAGATTTCACAAGCATATTGTCACGACAAATTTCAAATCAATTCTAACTTGGTCAGAGAATTCAAACATTCCAAACAACAGCAATTTATAGCAAATAAATTTAGTACAAAATTTGTTATTTATTCTGGATAATTATTAAAATTTCTGTCTATCCTGGAAGATTTCAAACTACTTTTCATTAATGATTCTAATTGCTGTAAAACACAATTAAAAAAGAAAACAAATGAACCGTTTGTTTCCGTTAAACCATTGATGAAAGCATGTTGAATACAGCTTAAGTTGCTCATTATGCAAGTAAGCCTCATGACAGCGCATCGCTTCACCAAAGTAAACAACCAAATAAGCGAAGCTTGCCGCAAATGACGATTTGCATGACGTAATTTGGCATTTAGAACTTTCAATAAATTCGCTACTTTCTTTTCAATAATATCCCATTCAGCGGCAGATAAGTTCTTTTCCTGACAAATTTGTCTATAGAACTTAATCCATCCAAAAATAAATAATAAACTATTGAAACTTTTTGTACTTCAAATTTTGTATCAGTCGACCGCTTCATTTAGTAATCATTTTTTACACTTTTAAAGAATATTCAAATTTACCAGAAAATGTTCCTCCGTCTCAGTGAAAATATTTCTACGAGATGGAGAACTTTCACCGAAAGCAGCGTCGAAGAGCGCATTGCCAACTGTAAACTGTAGTTCTAATTGAGTTGCTATCTGAAGAAAAAACACAGCATCTCCTGAATTTTTAGTATATATTTACTCAGAGATTAAACTCCCAGCATCACTATCATAATTCGTTCAGTGAAATTTTTGAAATATTTAAAGATAAAAACAACATTACCTTAAAATTTCAATATATTAACATGCGAATGCCAATAATTACTTTATTAAGCTAATAATAATAGATATTTCATATGCAACTGTTAGACTTAAGGATTAAATTTAGTCAGTGCACATGCCATTTCTTGAATGCATTACAAAGTATAAAACCACAAAAAAAAGTTCTAAAAAACACTTGGAACATTTTTTTTAATCCAGTGAATCATCTATTTCATATATGGCAGCCACAATTAAAAGCGATTAAGTTGGAAACTTACTTCACCACATGCAAATAAGTGAGCCAAGATTTTTTCATATAAAATAGTTGGCAAGCTGTGCAGTGAAAGAAAACCAAGACATTGCACTGCTGACTCCTTCACTTTTGATGTTAAAGTATCCTTTCGAGATGCTGCTATCTTCCCCAGCAATTCACAGAGCGAATAAAACTGATTATCCGAAATTGATGAAACGAAATTAGTCTAAAAAACAAAACCGAAGTGAAAAATTAGTATACTTGAAACAGTGATTTAATAACCCAATTTCTCCAAGTGATCCAAAAAAGAATGACACATAAATCCAAAAAAAATTTCTGAATCAATTAAACAAAACCAGCTTCCAGATGAAATCAAAATTAACAAGTATTTTGCATGCGATCACCTTTTCTACTTTACTGAGACTGAAGATAGCTCTTCTTAGCAATTCTGCCAGTGAGCCACATGCTGCTTCAAAGTATTGTTGTGCAGACAGTGTTTCGATCACATTCACTAGGCAAACTTTAATTCTGTTAATTTCACCAGCAGTGATGTCTACAAATGGCTGAGTTGCCAAATATGAACAGAGCCATGGGACTTTAACCAGTAACTCCTGAAAATTAGATGTCTCTACAGTTTTTATACCCTGATCGTGAAAATAATAATCTGAGTGAAGATCTGAGCATATATTAACTACGATTCAAAGGCAGTATATTTAAACATGATTTAAAATTTCAATATTCATTTAATTGAACTATATATCAATGTTTCGGTACTGTTTCTCTTTTTATTTTTGTCACTGATGATCAACAAACAAAAGATTCCCAAAATACCCTTAACGAATAAAATAAAATTAATTTTTTGTGCAGTATAATAGCACATATTTCAATCAATATAATCAGCAGTTTACTATAATTAATAATGAGGAACTTACATCATGACTGTCCAGTTGTTCCAAACATCGTTCTAAACATTTCTTTTTTTCTATATCGCTCAGAATCAAACTATAAAGTTGAGAAAGTTTTGCACAAACAGTTATCTGGGAATTCAAATTCAGGTGACGTTCTAACGACAAAACAATCTGCAATATTTCTAAAATTATAGACTTAAAAAATAATAAAATAAACTACGAATTTTATTAGCTATGCTAAACAAATGAACTTATTCGGCAATGAAACTGCAAAACTACCCAGTTTAGAAAAAACTGCCCCATGAAAATTTTCAAAAATCTCAAAAAACGAAAAAACCATAAAAACAGCTTATTCTCTGCCAGTATAACATTAATTTGACCTACAATATGAAAAAGAAATGTTAGACGATGGTTCAGCAATACAAAAAAGAAATATTGGAATTTAAATAATCGAAACTGCAACAGATAAAAATAATATCTCATAGAATTGTTAGAGCTGAAGATATAAATATCAAAAAAGACGAAATTACCGTACCGTTGTTTGGTAATTATGATCTAAATTTCCAATTCCACTGTACAAGAACAAACAAGCTATTTCGATCAAAAAGTTAGCTGAAATTTTATTTTCCATTAATATTTCATTTATTCTGCTTAACAATAATCGTATTAAAAACAACATAAACAGTCCAACAGTCTGTAAGAAAAAAACGAAATTGATGGAATAAACAAAAATCACATCAAAGCAAAATGTAATATTACCATTTTTTTGAGCTGGGATCGAAACAAAAACAACTGAATGAATACACTACGATGGGGTTTTTCATTGAGTTTCTCAATGAAAATACTACGTTCACAGATTTCATAAAATATCTATACAAACTGAAAATACCTGGTTGCGCTTCAACTGCCTTCAAAACTATTTCTAACAAGAAATGTAAATTTTCGGGATGCTCTTCAGTGATTGAAAACAGATAATTATTGATAACAGGATAATCTGATGTTCTTGAAAAAATATCCGCTTCTGTTAGCGAGATCGGCTGTAGCGAACAAGCAACTTGTAAATTGGCATACAAATAAAGAGCCGACTGAAAATCTAGTTATAATGACAAGAAAGTGCGAATGACCGAGCTTAATTTTCAATCAAATTTAAATACAAGCCTGAAATGTTCAAAAGTGAACAATTCTAGACTGGATTAGCACTACATTAATATCCTATTTTCATGAAGTCCAGATTTGTACCAGACCTAAAAAATAGTCCCATTCTTTGTCGTAAACAAAAAAAGTGAAATTTTTAGTGCTTTGGAATGTACACTATAATGTAATGAAATATTAATGAAATATAAAGTATGATCTCGTAGTCCAAGTTATTTTATTCTCCTGTCAACATAGTGTTGCACGACTAGTTACGAACATTCTTCCCGAATTACGTTTCAACTTACAACATGAAACACTTCATCAGCAAAGGTTTCTTTCTTCTTCTTTGCTTCAGCAGTTGAAAAGTCCATATCTCCAGCAGCATCTTGTAAATTCAATTTTCGGTGAACAAATTCGATCAAATCCTAGAAGAAATGATTTACACTTTTTGCTTCAAATCATGAAAAAAGCAAACTAACGAGTCTTACTTCAAATCTAGGAATCGTCGTGGGATTTGCAACTGATAAATCCAGTAGACGCAAAGCTTCGCGCTTCATTTCATCCCTCCTGAATAAATTATTAATTTGAAAAAACTGGACAAATTATTTTTTTAGAGTCTGACATAAATTATATTAACATAAGCTTGAAAGCAATGACATTAAGATTACAGCGCATTTTCACAAAATCAATATTTGAGTTCAAAGCCGATTTCATTCATTTACCACTAGTATCTTGACAAAGAACTGATACCTCAACAATATAGTTTGAAATAGGGTAATATGCTTACGGATCTCCACAAGTTCGACAAAGCATCCAGCGGAATTCCAGCGACGGTGTTTTCACCAATGTTTCAACAAATTTTAGAGCAGCAAGACGACATTTAGGTGATTCCTGAAAACGTTCTTAATAAGTCAGTCAATCTCGCCAAGTAATTAACTAAAAATCGAGAAGTCAAAAAGTCTGTTAGTATAGAATTAAAGCTATAAATTATTTAACCAACTATTACATACAGGATGAATCTGCTATACAATTCATTGCCAAATATTTTAACCAACAAAATGGACAAATGTTCACCTGTTATCTTAGCTACGAAAATAAACAATTGATACTAGCGCGTTGTGTATATTGAATGAAAATACTTCTTATTTAACTTTTTTTTTTATTATTGTTTTTCAGAATTATCACTAGATCTATGCTAGGAAAAGGAAAAGAGTTCGAAATTCAAGTATTTGTTTGAGAAAATTACTTTTTTGTTTTGCAGTTCTTATTTCATGCTATTTCTATGGTCCTTGTCGAAATAACTGAATATGGTAGTACGTCTAATAAAAATATCTAGTCTCCCTGACTTCAAAAATCCGACAGCACTTTTAACAGTAACCTTAATGTAACTAATAAAATTTGACATTTGTATATCTAAACTATTAAAATATGTAATAATGCTTTTACTTCAGCAATGGCTTTTAATGACAATATATACACCACGAATCAAATTCACTGCTTTTGTATAACAAACAAGTGCGACTATTTCACAGAACTAGAAAATATTTCAAAAACAATTTTGTAACATATAGGAACTCATCTTCTCCTTATGAAATAAAAATCATAAAAAATTAAGTAAAAACTTACGTGAATAATATATGAAGAAATGAGGGCTTCCAGAACACCACTTAAAGCAACATCATTTATCGCGCAAAAAGCAGGTAACCAACTCATTAAGCAATCTGCTATTGCAAAAGATACTTCTTCTGGCGCCTAAATCCTGTATTTTTAAAAATGAAAGATTGGGAAAATTGGAAATTTAATTTAAAATAAGAGGAGAAAATAACCGATGGTATGGCATCAAACGTTTCCTGCAACAGAGCCATATCATTTACAACCAGCTGCGGAACTTTGGAACCAATAATACCAAAACATTGATAAGCTGTAGCAACAACACTTGCGGACTGCAAAATAAAAAATTTTTAGTGTTAAAAGCAATCGTACGTCGACTACAACTTATCAATCTTTTCCTACACCAGTGATATCCAAAGTTAAATTCCTCGCGATATAAGAGTAATTAATTAGCCAGCGTCCTGTAATGTGAAAATGGACAAAAAATGATGAGTTCAAGAAGAGAATGAACTCGTTACTTTTGCCACACTTTTACATTTTTATAAAATTTCTGTTATCAATTGAGGATTTTAGCTCTTCAACTGTGGTGCGCAATGTAAATAAGAGTTAGTTTAAAAATAGTAGTGAAAATCCAAAATGAACGGACCTCACTTTGATCAATTAGTTTTCTTATCGAAGAAAATATTACTGGGCCAAACGTCGGCAAAGCATTCGCAGGAAAATTTTTCACAATAAGCAACAAAAACTCGATGCTTGCTTGTTGCAATTTGAGAGGTTTATTTTCAACAAAATCTTCCTTGCTGAATAAACCATCAAATGCTATCTAAAGAATATCAAATATACTAAAATATAAAATAGATTCCGTAAAATCAGAAGACAGAAAAGACGAATGGATTACCAGGAAAAATTTGAAAAAAAAAGTTTCGAGCTTTCAAGTCAAATCAATTTCAAGAAAACTTGAGATAATAAATATATTTTACCTTAATATTATATGGAAAGGTTTGAACCGCAACAGGGGATCTCATTAGTAGAGGCATTAACTTTAACTTAATAGGAATCGTAGCCGGCAAAACTCTATCTCTTTTATCCATTTTCTGAAAAATAGCTTTCCAATGTACTGCCAAATACTATTTGAACTATGATCCGAATTTCTAGAACTGTATGCTTTTCATTCTGAATAATTTTACAGTAGCGTGGAAAAAAAAATACTGATGATCGTTAACCTGATAAAAGTACCTGAGAAGATAAACCGAGGTATAAATTGAATAAACTGTTCACTGTGTCTTTATTTCTCAGAACTTTTTCCAAATCAATCTTTTTGATAGCAACATCACCAGCTACTTCAACGTCACTAGGGCCAAGTGCGGTGGCTCCAATCAAAAGTGGTAATATCTCGGCCTCAGTAAAAATTTTTGATGACACTATCTTTATTACAGCTAACTTTAACTGAAAAATAAAATAAATGCAATATGTGAAAGGTTGTTGAAAATTTGCCTGTGCAGAGTTAACGCTTAAAGTATAAGATAAAAACAGTTACAATCTTTCTATTTTCAAAATTTCATCTCAGCAATTCCCAAGAAATTTTGGAATGAAAAATATGATAAATGAAGATTCCTATGCATTCCAAATGTGAACGAGAACTCACCGCAGTAATGCTAACTTTGGATTCACTTAAGACATCTTTAGCAATTCGGAGAAATCCATTTTTTGAGATGCATGGATGATCACAAAAGTTATCCAAGAATGTGGTCATATTTCTCTTTTCGCTATTAGAAAACAAATATGAGACGATAAATAATTTGGTTCAAAAAAATTTTTAAGTTGATGAATCGCAAAGAATATTATGGCATATTTACAGCTGCATCCAAAACTGTCATGCTGTCAGCGTAGCTTTCGAGAGTTTCCGATATTTCGAAAAAAAAATCAAAATATAGTGAACTAACCTCCAGTTTGGGAAATATAGCACGTCCGAAAAAAATTTTAATATTTCCGATCTGACTGGCTTATTTTGCAAAGACTCTAGTGATGGCCATGCTTGCTGATTTACATTGGCAATAGATATCCAAGCACGTTTAGTTAGAACAATAAGTCTATAATTTTTTCAATTAGATGCAAAGCAGAACTTATACTTAAATGTATGGTACACTATATTCTAAAAAAATTAAATCAGACATAACTCAACTGATATAATTGTTTGCAGGCTAGAGACATGAATCCTTCAAACAATAGCATACGATACGCAATCACTTAATGATAGAGAAAGTAGAACTCACTGGTCAAATATCTTTCTCTCGTTTATGTATTTCAGCAAAATATCTAGAAGATTTGGAAGAAGAGTAATGTGCTCTTTAATATCCACACGATCCAATGCTATTTTAAGATAAACTATTGCAAAATTCTGCAAATCGTAGCAAAATTAAATAAGTAAAGATTACTCATTCTCTGTGTGCAATTCGTTTTTTTTACTTTTCGTTCGATAATTAGTGAATTCAAAAACTTTGTACGTGAAAGTTTTTTGTTCAAGAGAAAAGGATACTGATGTCATAAACTGAAATAGAATAATTGCAGAGGACTGATATGGAATGAAAGGAAAAGAATCGCTTTATCATAAAACTTCATTGTGTTATGTTTTAATTTCCATAACTGATCTCTTGCTTGTTATGAATTGCCTTCTGAAACACTTAATATGAAATCTTTAATTCCATTATTGTGAAAGAAACTATAGTCCATACCGTTCCTAAAATGTTTTCTTCTGAGGACAATAAATAATGTAAGATATCATCCAACGGTAATGTTATCATTGGATTGCTTTTGATTCGACGATTTAAATGTGTCAATATTTCCATTCCCTTAAATAAGAACATTTTTTCTTGATACAACTTGGTAAATTAGAAGAATATGAAAAAATGATATCTTTTAAAATCAAAAAAAGAAATACATTGTTAAAATTTCCGTCCGGTTAAAAGCTCTGGCCTAATGTCATTTATTGAATAAAAAATTACTTTATTTCGGACTTCAACTTCGCCCGCAGAAGTGCATTGTATAATATCAAGTAAGTGCTTCCGAGTAAATGCTTCTAATTTCGAATCATCGTTGATTAAAGCCAAGTGAAGGAAAAGACGTTCTACTGAAATTAGAGTTGCTTAATGAAGATGTGAAATCCAAGACAAAAATGTGAAGATGATCCAGAAGGTTATAAGAATCAAATAATATTAATTTATTTCTTCAAAATTTCTTTGTTTTGACTCTTGATTAAACGTTATTCTTGATTTCCTTGACTCGGTATCTTGAATATTTGACAACTAATGAAAGGAAAGACATGACATTATCTTTCAAACAATATTACTGATGACGTTGTTCGATTATGCTATAAGTATGCTTGAAATAATTATACGATATAAAATTAGATGTTTTCTGTTTGTTGCACAACTTATTTTGCTTCTGCACAAATGTGATAATTTAAACTAACGTTCAAAGCAAATTTCAGCATTCGTTCCAGTAATAACCATATTTCTGATATCTAAAATAAGTCTTCATAATATCGACAAATTTCATACTCATTTCAGTTCTAAATAAAAAGCCTTTATTTTAAAAACATCCATTTTTAATTTAATTAAATTTCATACCGTTTCTCAGTTTGTTTGTTAGTGTTACAATATTTCATCTCAGCGCAAAAATTCTACCGCTTTTATTTGATATCCTATTCCATTTCAAACTTATCAATTCACTATTCTAATGATTAATGCACTTCCCTAATCACTTCATATCAACTCAAAATTACCTAATTTTATTTAAATACCGACTTACACTACCCAGCGCAGGAATATTATCATCCATCCTTTCACTCTTCATAACACGAGTTCACGACGAGATCGCTGTGTAAAGAGACATCCCATGTCAGCTCAAAACTGCGATCTAAAAGCTGGAAATACATGTACATCTCTCTCTGTAGCATCGAGTTTACAGATCTTCATCTCGAAGGATCAATGGGCCGTTCCTGAGTCAGTCCGAGAGCAAGCCTCTGCTTCAGAAATGTTTAGAATGAGATTTCCGGTTTCCCACTTTTCAGCTCTTCTTTCTTTTCTGTGCAGTCTACTCAAAGTATGCACAGAGCCATTTTTTATCTAACTGATTAGCAATGTTATTCAAGGAAAAGAATATCTCTCAGTCGATTTATAGCGGTATGATAATTTTTGTATATTTAAGGAACGGTGGACAAGAGTCTCCCACTTAAAATTCTCATTTATTGTAAATGCAATAATACGTCTCTACAAAAACAATCTCTCTACAAAAATAATGTCTATGTCTTTAGAAAATTTTTGCAAACCTTAGCCAATTGCGAAGAATGTTTCAGAAATGCTGATTGATACTGCCCATCTTATATATTAGTTCAAACAACACTCAGATTGATATGAAATTCACGAAAAGGTGTAAAGTATAAATATATCAGCTGAACAAGAGAATTCCATTTTCTCGTTTTCTCAACTGCATAGAAAAATACTGTCCAATTTATAATGGTTTCCACAATATATACATGATCGCTAATGCCTACTGCGATGAAAGATTCTAGGGACTTAATATTTTAACACATTCTTTTGAAAACAAAATAATACAAATGGAATCTCTAATTTCTTAAATCAATTTTCCCTGAGCAAGAATTCGGAACGAAACACTTCAAGTACAATAATATCATTCAATTTTTTATATGTACAAACGACTGATAAAAGCTTCATACAACGAAAAGTCTCACCGTTTCAAGTATAAGGATAATACATTAAACAAAATCAATGAGGTTGAGGAACATATGTTAAAGCAGAGAATCTATAAAACAACAGTTGAATGTATGCCACAATTAAAATAATAAAAACTTGGAAGAGAATACAAAGTGAAGTATTTCGAGAAAATTTATGAAATTTCTGAGAACTGCAAACTGCGACAGCATTAATCTCTGATGAGTTAAACGAGGAGTTCTAAATATAAGTTAGGCTTGTAAAAATAAAGAATATGAAGGATTTTAACAAGGTCAAAGAATCTGATTTTCCTGTATAAGAACCAAAAAATTGAGATCGAATCTTCATTCCTATTCAATTATGATAGGTTCATCGATTTTTTCTGAAAAATTTCCCACACAATATACTGTTTGAACTCATTTTCTCCTATAGAAATAGTGTTCAATCACTTCACTCGTACAAGGTGAGTAATAAAATGTTTTCAAAATGTTGGAAGAAAATACAGTCAGATTTCCAGGACTATCATGCACAGGCTTTCGGTAATAGAATTATTACAATAGCGTCCAAATTATTTCTTTTGATCTACTGACTTGTTATACTTTTAATGGTTTAAACCTAGTTGATAATAAGTGTGCTATATCTTTTCACTATATATGTATAATCATGTCTTGAAAATGTTTACTTCTCGCCACTAATAACGAGATACTCAGAGAACTTCATCAATGTTGAAACGTCATTACCCTTATAAGAACAGTAGAAAAAGGCGTGAGAAATATTAAAATTAATTCCAAATCATGACAATGGATTTTCAGCAAACCTGATTCATTCAACCACTCGAGAGGAATATCTATCGAAGCTGGTGCTCTTGAAGCGTCATAAATGACATGTTCTTGGGCATTGTAGGGTAAATTTATATCATGAACTAAAATCAGTTTGCATTATTATAATAAATTACAAATGATCTCCGAAAGTGCTCTGATACTCTCAGTGCATCACTATCTACAGTCATATTTTGGAAGAAAACATCTCCGGAAATATAATTAAGGTATGACTAAGAAAAAACAGCTTTCATATAATCTCGATGGGTGAAAATTAACAGAAATAAAATACACAAGCATGAAAAAAAAAACTAAAAACCTATTTGCATTTCTGCCATAATATTCACAGCCTCGCGATATTTTTCACTGAGATCATCCAAATTTTTTATTTCTTTTGAGAAATTTACTTCATTCCAAAATTCATACAATGGATTATCCTCCTCTGCATTTTCATTATTATTCAATTCCATAGAAATACGTGTTGTCAGATTCGTGTAATCAGCTCGTGTAATCTTCCTCATTGCCAAATTGAAAATATAATCACCCTCACCATTAATAGCTTCTATTGAATCTTTTGCATCTTTCTTAATCTCTTTCTCAACTCTTTGAAGCTTTTCATCTGATTTGGCAATTATTTCACTCGACAACATATTATGTTGTACATTTTTTACTGGCATATCTGCTCCTAGTATCGTTTCAGTAGAAACTATATTCATATTTTCTTCGCCGATTTCAAGTCGTGCATTGTCAGCTGCATTTAATTCCTGGTTCTGACCATAGTTAGTTGTGCACTGCAGTACCTCAGTATCAAAAACATCTCTTAGTGCACGATCGTAAGCCAATCCAATTCTGGAAAACCTATATTTTAACGCTCACCAATGGATTCTTTCAAAATCTCACTATCATACAGAGTAAAATATAAATTTCTTTACTTGTATGCTTTTTTAAGTGAAAAATTTGTGGGCAGAGATAGCAAAATTTTAAAGGACCTGCTCTGAATGATTGATGAAGCCAATCCCGATAATTCGTTTTCAGCAATATTGTCATCAGTCTCAGTTCTTATTAATATGTCACTAAAACCCATCAAACTAAGCCGTTCGAGTTCTTCAGTCTGTGCTTGCGACAACTGTATTGATAGTCCGATAACTTGAGAAAATGAAAGTTGAGAAAGAAAGCTACGTATTTCATTAGGGCTGCTGTGGTCTGAATATTCAACATAGCGCATCCTTTCGTCACTAAAAGTTCAATTTACGAAATATGCAACTCATCATATAGCAAATACATTTTCAATTTCCGAATCTCTAAAAACATTTCCAAATCTTTTTCTGGATTTTTTTCAAAAACACCTCGATAACATCGATTTAGTGGACGATTTAAAGATTGTAGAATGATGCTAGTATCTGATTAACACTGTATTGATGATGCTGAATTTTCATTTTTCAGAATTATCATATTAGACATAAATATAATAAAATAAAAACATATTTATTCTTACTCAATGATTATAGTAGGGTTGATATGCCGTAACATGGAGGTATCGATGACATGAACATTTGTATCATAGAGAATTGAACGAATATTTCTGAATTAAAACATTTTCAAACTCGAGTAGAATTTCACATGTAACTAATTATCTCGGCAGTTAACCTCGCACATGATTTTATCCGATTCATGAATTATATTAATGCTAATTATTATTTCTCATTTTCTAGAGCTGCAAACTATTTATTTATTCATTCCAATTATTGTCCAAAAACTTGTTATTATCAGATGAATTTGTAACAATTTCGCTTACTGCCTTGTACAGGTCCAAATAGATGTTTCTGCCTTTTCTGTTGTGAAATATTCATTTAACCCAAGAATTTCGGCTACTTGGAAGCGAATATGATCAATCCATATCTTGCACTGCAAAAAGCATTAAACGCAAACGACAATAAACATTTCTGTTTTTTGCCAGCATTTTTCGGGATGTCTTCAACAAAATTAAAAAAGAAAGGAAAATAAATTAATAGTACATAAATCGGTAACGAATATACCTACTTTGAATTCGATTGCTATGTCAACAAGTAATTGCTCTCGGCCAATTTTCGGGACCATAATTGTTACTGGTTTAGAACCATCAAATAATAATTCGCGCAGAACGCTGCATATTTCAACTAATGAAGCTTCTCGATTAGGAAATTCTTCTCGCGTGCAATTAATGTATGTAGTATCCAAGTATATTGTGTTAAGACTCATCTAGATGAATTATTTTACACATCAGTATAGAAATGCTCTTCGACTAAACTGATTCTGGTATAAAGTAAGGAATATAATTTTATCAAATTCTGTTTCCTCACTACTGATTATTAAGAAAAAAAATTTTGGTTCTTATCTTTTTCCTTTATTGTAAACACTGCATATATAAAAGAAGTTTCAAATGCAAACTAACCTCCTGCAAAACCGATATCGCAAATACATTTTGATAAAATCGAACATCAGCTCGAAAATCACCTGTAAAAAGAATCCGACCATTTGATATTCGATCACCTTCAAAGAGAAACATAACAGAACCAGGAATATGATTTGCATCTAATAGCATCACTGAGAAGCCATCCATATGATGCCAAATATTTAGATCCAGAGCATGAATTAAGTGACTCTGAATTCCACCACGTTTTGATCTCGGTCGCTGAGTAACGACTGGAAGAACATGAGCGGTTACAGGTGAACAGTATATAGTACCATTATTCCACTTATTCTGCAACGAAAAACAATGTACAGGTCAGTGTATTATTAAGATTTGCAAGTGAAAATTGTTTTAAAAATAATCTGGGAATTTGAAATTCAAACTACAATTTGATAAAAAAATGAATTAAAATGAAAACTGTTAAAATACTATCCAGCGTCATACGTTGTCATATGTCATATGTGTGATTCATTCATCACAGTGAACTTCAATGTTAAATTCCCAATGACATTAACTAACGATTAAAGAGAATGGTTAGTAATTACAGAATTCATCAGAATATACATTTGATACAGACTGAATTAATATGAAATGAACAGTATTAACTGCAAACAGAAATCAGATTATGTGAAAATAATTCGAGCTTACTTTTTAAAATCGGTAATTTACTATGTATCAATCTGTATTGTAAGATTTCGAGAAAATCGTTGTAGCATTTGAAAATTTAAATTATCGAGGACTTTTTGAAATCAGTAATTTACTACGTATTAATCTATATTGTAAAATTTCGAGAAAATTGTTATAGCACTTGAAAAATTAAATTATCGAGGAGCAGATTTAGTGGAAAATTTACATCGATAGCACCATAATGATCGGAGTGTGCATGTGTTAGGAAATAATACTTGATGGCATCATCCTTCGTGAATTTATCAATCGCGATAAATCCATTGATCACTACGCCTGGTTGTGGCATCTAACACAATCTGAAAGAAAGAAGAAATTTAGGAAAATTTAAATCTAAATTAAAATCTTCCATTTCATTAGCTTTCTGATCTTGCGGATGAAATTTTTGGTACAATGCACTAAATGACACTCTCATCTCTCACTCGTTCCCTCATCAAATCAAATAATCCATCTCAAACTTCTCCTGCAACTCCATGATACGACCTACTGGCATGACCTCTTCCAAGCTGACCACCACCTATCTGATTACCTGTCAACCATTAAAGTTTTTTTTGGTAATTTTCTCTTCGGTTTCTGTATGCTTTATCGTTCTCTCCTACTTTCCACACCCTTATTGTCATCTTTTCGTGTTTCTCACCCTCTTCACATTTTCCTACTCCTATACTCATACAGGTGAACTGTGTGACCTGTTATGGGCATTTACCCCCTCAAATAAACCCTGCGTTTTGCCAGCTCTCTGTAACAGTGCAACTGTCATCGGATTTTTCTTTCTTCCTAACATCTTCTTTCTTTCTTTCCCTTTCTCTCTCTCCCTCACTCTATATTCACTATCTTCTGAAATATAAGAGCATTGATTGAATTGTGAAGAGTAAAATACTCATATCAGAAAAACCTTTAGGAAGTTAACTAATTATACCTCGATGGTCTTTAAGTTACCCGAGACATGTGTGAGAAATTTCCTTCGATTTTCTCGCAATGTCAAACTCCATCCCTTCCAACATTCCCGTCATCCGGTTTCTTAAAATACACCAAGAAATCAACTCACCTCGTTGCACACAGCCCGTGACGGGCGGTGAACGAATGTAACTCTCACGAAATTCTATACCGCACGGGTGGGTATTACGTTTTCCGCATAATGGTAAGTCGCGGGGTTCCGCTATCGTCTGTCTTTTATGCCATTTGATAAGTTCTTCAATCGGCACTATAAAGCAAATCATTTTCATCCTTTCTGTTCAAACATGCGTTGCAGAGGACTGCATGTGTGTGTATGAAAGAATAGCGTTATTGCATTTATGTCATTTTAACAGTGTTGGTAGTTTAATTTATTTAAAGTGCGCCATGTTAGTTTGACTTTGTTCCTAAAAATGCGAAATATTTTTTAAAGGATGAAACTGAAATAATTGGAATAATTAGGTAGAAATTTGTTTTTTTTTTTTTGTAATTTTTGTAATAGTGCAGAGAACTTCTTTGCAATGCAGAAAAATTCTAAATTATCATTTTAGACACACTGAAGTTGAAGTATAGAATCGATGTGGAACATTGTGTCACATTCTTCGATTCTTATTGTTACTGTTATTGTCCTTATTTTTATACAAATCGTTCAAGCAGTTGACAGAAATAATTTCAAGAAATGTGAACAGTCTGGTTTTTGCAAGTTGGTCTATTTTTTCATTTACAAAATGAATTGTTACAATTGAAACAAATATGGAAACAAAGTAGCGTAATTTTAGAGAGCAAAATTTACAAAAGTTTCCACATTCCAGTTTTAGATTGTCTCACTTAGCAAACAATCCTCTTCAGAAAATAAAAAATTTGAATTCTGCAGTGGACAGTCTTAAATTAATAATGTTATTTTCTTAATTTCATAACTGTTCAAAAAATCATTGAAATATTTGAAATATTACAAAGGAGATGTTGCAGGCGGCATAGAACACAAATAGAGAAAGCGAATTATATAGTAAATGCGGGAAGCGTTACATATAATGGTTCAGCGGTGGTTGCGGATTTAGAAAGTAGGATTAATAAATTGAAATTGAGTGTCATATCATTGAATGATGAAACAATAAGAGTATTAATTGATGAAAAAGAACCATCGATACGATCACGATTCCAGCCTTTAGACGCCTTAAAGAATGGAAGCAATTTGAAAACTGCCGAGTAGGTTTTGTCTAATTTTTATCATTTCGGTAAAGTTTATTTTCATTTTATGAAATTTGAATTTTGCATATGCCTCGTCATCTTTCAGTTGAGTTATTAATACCATTATCTTCCTTTTCTAAATTATACTGCAACAACGAAGAAACTTGAATAATTTTTATGTCCATTTTATAGAGATTAATAATGTTGAAAATTATGATGCATAGTTCATACTTCTGAATGTTGCTTTTGTTTGATTTATAACTGTTTTAGTGTTATTTTGTGCACGATTTTCTATTATAGCTTTAAATCGGTGAAAGTCAACAACAATTCAACCGTTATGATCACATCGAACAATGCAAAAGTGTTACTGAATTACGAACCGTTCCGAATTGACTTATTCATGAAAGATGAATTAGTTATGAGTGTTAATCCCAACAGCGCATTGAAATTTGAGCATTTTAGAAAAAAGGTATATTTTCTCCTTATTTTAAAGTTATCTGTATTGCTCTTTTTTCAGTTGTTACCACTTCGATAGATTTGTTATTTTTTCTATTTTTTCTCAATTATTGTTGTACAGCTGCTAATTAAATAGAGTTAAGTTCGAATGAATAAAGATTTGATTATATAGTAATAATTGTATTATTTTTCAGGAAGATGGAAATGAAACAGAAGCAGCAGAAGGCTTCTGGGAAGAGAATTTTAAAAATCATCACGATTCTAAACCGTTCGGTAACTTCTATCTCATTATTTTGTTGCTTGAATTAGATATGCTCAATTTTTTTTAAATTTTATTCAGTTGTACTAACTCTTTTAAAATCTCCTCCAGGATCAAGTTCTGTCGGCGTTGATTTGTCTTTTATTGGTTATAAATTCATATATGGTTTACCCGAACATGCGGACAGTTTTCCCCTGAGATCTACAACGTGAGGATTTTCAATATAACATTAACATCTTTATAAGGTCTCTTTTGTTAGCTGAATTGGTACAGTTTTGGCAGTAGATATCATTAATTTATCTTCTCTTTTGTATCAGTTAGTAGTTTTGAAATTTTCCTCATTACAGTATAAAAAATCAGAGTGTGGTTCTCAGTTTCTAGCTCTCTCCCTTCAAAAAGAATTTTTCAGATCAATGGATCCTTATCGATTATATAATTTAGATGTTTTTGAATTTGAAGTTAATGAACCCATGTCTCTTTATGGTACGGTACCTTTTTTGTTAGCTCATAACAAGGAGCATTCATTAGGCTTACTATGGTTAAATGCTGCCGAAACATGGGTAGATATTAACTCTTCAACCGCTGATAAGGCACGTTTCATTTTTATTTTCATTTTATTCTTTATATTAGCAAAATTGTTACTAATAGGTAAATTAAATCAGAAATATTTCTGCAGTGAATATTTTTGTTTTTGTAAAGCTTTATATTCAAAGCATTAAAGATTTCAGAAAAGAGTTATTCAAACAATTTTCTCGACTAATTTCAGAGTATTCTGCGTTCACTTGTCGAGAAATTCAAAAACTCTGTAGATTTGCCACAGATTGATGTTCATTTCATGTCGGAATCTGGTCTCATTGATTTTTTCTTAATGTTGGGTCCAAAACCTAATGATATATTCAGACAAAATTCTGGACTGACTGGAGTTTATCCATTGCCACCGGTATGTATTTTTTATTATTTTTTCTAATAATTTTTCTTTAAAGTTAGGAAATTTAGGCGTAGTACAAAAAATAAATATTTTACAAATATTCCTCACCTTTGTAATTTATCCTCCAGTTGTTTGCACTGGCTTACCACCAGTGCAGATGGAATTATAATGACGAGGGCGACGTTCTTGAAGTACATGCGAATTTTGATAAGCACGATATACCAGTAGATGCTATTTGGCTTGATATTGAACATACTGATGCGAAACGATACTTCACATGGGATCCCAATAAATTTTCAAAACCAAAAGAAATGATCGATAGCTTAGTAGCAAAAGTAAGTTTTTAAAACAGTCATTTTGATTACTACTCAGATTCTGAAACCAAAAACTCTTCTTATTGCAATTTTGTTTTTTCATTTTACATAATTGCAATCGTTCTTTTATGTCTGCAGGGACGCAAAATGGTTACAATCATTGATCCTCACATTAAAAAGGATGATAATTACCACATATACAAAGAAGCAAAAGAACTTGGTTACTTTATAAAGGTGTGCTTTATCTTTTTTGCAACTTTTTTATTAAAAAAGTTGCATTTAGTTGAGGAATTCTGTTTGAATTTAGAGTTCTATTCAATTGTTTCAGAATTTCATTTCTGGGAATTTTTTTTTCTCAGGTTATTTGCTTCATCTTCAAATACATTCATATCATTAGCGATTTTCTATTCTCTCATTCAATTTTTGTTTTACATTTTTTATAAATTTTTACTCTGAATTTCGGATTTGTTCCGTTTGCTTATAATTTTGTTATCATTGTTATGTTTTGCTGCTAATTTAGGAAAAGAATGGTGAAAACTACGAAGGACACTGTTGGCCAGGTGCATCGACATATCTCGATTTTCTGAATCCTGCAGTTCGTAATTTTTGGGCAAATAAATTTGCTTTCGATCAGTATGTTGGCTCAACGGAAGATCTGTTCACGTGGAATGATATGAATGAGCCATCAGTGTTCAGTGGTCCAGAAGTAACAGTGCACAAAGATGCTAGACATTTTGGCGATTGGGAGCATCGTGATGTCCACAACATCTATGGTTTTTATCACGTCAGTTACAAACTTTAGCAAGCATTGAAACTTTGATTTAAACTTTACATCTTTTTGGATATTTGTCAATTCATAGTGCTGTTTTAATATGTTAAAATATGGAGTTCGTTCTTAATACAGGTTAACATGTAATTAACTTTTGAATGCAATAGAATAATGAATCATTTGAATAGTTTTTGTAGCATTCATCAACTTATCTCGGTCATATGGCGCGTACAAATGGTCGCAAACGACCATTTATTTTGACCCGATCATTTTTTGCTGGGAGCCAACGTACAACAGCTGTATGGACAGGTGATAATACAGCAACCTGGGAACAGTTAAAAATAACAGTACCAATGCTACTCTCATTATCCATTTCTGGCATACCGCATGTTGGCGCTGACGTTGGTGGTTTCTTCGGTAATCCGGATGAGCAACTTTTAATACGTTGGTACCAGGTAATGCTTTGATTAAATGATGTCGATTGTCAAATTGGTTATATCAAGTCTGGAGGAATGAATTCGTGTGATTCAAATCCCGCCTTTACATCCGCCTTTCAAGTAATTTATGTGTGTACTTATAGTCTGTTGTTTTGTATCTTTCTTTTTTCAGGTTGCTGCTTTCCAGCCATTTTTTAGATCTCATTCCCATATTGACACGAAGCGCAGAGAGCCATGGTTATTCTCAGATAACACAAAATTATCAATTCGACAAGCAATTCGAACTCGTTATTCTTTCCTGCCTTACTGGTAATTTTTTGGTTGTTCTAAAAATGATTTTTTTTTTTTGTAAGAGTTTTGAGAATGATTGTGTGTCTGTACGAATTATCTATTTTTGTTCATAGTGAAACTAAAACTTTTAGAGCCCGGATTAGAGCAGTGGAATTTTTCATCATTTTTATTAAAGTATTTTTCATAGTTGCTTTGATAAGTTTATTTTATTTTACTGCATAAATCCTACTGATAACGGAAATTTTTTTTGAATCATGGCATGTGTCATTTCATGCACTATCCTATTCAATTATATATTTCATTGACAAATCTGTTCTGCATCTTTTTAAGCTTGTTTCTACATGTGTTAATGTTAGGTACACTTTGTTTTACGAACATACTCTCACTGGAAAACCACCAATGAGGCCATTATGGTCCGAATTTCCGGATGATGAAGATGCATTTGATGAGGAACGTGAATGGTTAGTAGGTCCCGGCTTACTTGTACGTCCAGTAATGGATCCAGATATTCAATCCGTCTCATTATATCTGCCGGGTAAAAGAAACGTAATATGGTACGGATGGCATGATCATAAGGTGTGATGCTTTTTTCTTGCTACTTTTATTATTGATTACCTAAAGCGAAAAAAAACGAAGAATGGAAGTTCTTATCCATAGTTAAATATGTAGTGACAAATTGTTGTGATATTTCCTTCAGGAAAATCTATTATAGGTTAAACGTAAAGTCTTCTTCAGGGTCGTGTAGCTCCTGGTGCAGTTTACGTGAATACGCCAATCGATGTAATACCGTTATTCCAGCGAGGTGGTACTATCATTCCAACATGGGAAAGAGTACGACGAGCTTCGTTACTGATGTTTCAGGATCCTATTACATTATATATTGCACTCAACTTTAATGTATTTTTTTAATTTGTATGATATATTGTGAAATCGAATTCTACTGGTGTAATATATATCTCTTGTAGGACCCGATCTTATCCTTTAGAAAATTATTTAGTAGTGATAATTTATAAATCTAAGCATCTTTTTGAGATAAAATCCTTGTAAAGTTCTTGCAGAATTCAACAAATGGAAGCAGTTCATTCATTTGAAACAGAAATTCGTATATATTCCTATTTTCCTTAAACTTCTTGAAGTGTGGCTATGTTTTATATAGTGACTATATTGCAAAATCTTTTATAGGATGATTATGCAAATGGAACAATTTATATGGACGATGGGGAGACATTTGATTACAAAAATGGCCAATACTTCTACTGGGGCTTCTTCTACACGAAAGAAGGCGATCAGTTGCATTCAATTTCATCGAAAAATTTGGATAAAAGAGGAAAATTAGAAAGTGATGCTATTATAGAAAAGATTATAATACGAGGTGTTCGATATTATCCGACGAATGTTCATATATATTTAGATGGTAAACAGTAAACACATTTATAACTTCCAAGTATTTCGCCCGCTTACAAACAGTTAATTCTTTTAAATGTGATTTCCAGCATTGCAATAGACGGAAATTAGTGGTCTATTGAACCATTACTCTTTCTTCATTATAACATTCTTGCCTGTTATATTTCGTTATTTTTTAGATTGGAATCCAGAAACTGCTGATTACACGCATGATCGCGATGCTCAAGTCCTCATTATTCGAAAACCGAATGCTCTATTAACACAGGAATTCAGAATTGATATTCACATGTAATTGCGGAATGATCTTTAACACACTTCATTCTTTTTCATGGATTGAAATATAACACGATTCTTTACGTGAACTATATTGCCTGCGGGTGTAAGGGTAGATTCAAATTATTAGTTCCTTGTTAATTTTGGAAATACGTTCCAGTTGCTGTATATTATATTTATAGAGTTTATGGTATGATTTCTCCTCACATTTAGTTGATTGTTGAATTAATGGTACAATTTATTGCCCTATTGTTAACTTTTGAACTTGCCATCTTTTAATCTTTTCCAAATTCTAAAAGTTTTAATATAGTAAAGATTTAGATTTTGGATAAAGTAATATTTTGAAGAATATAATGACTCTTATTCCTATTCCTCTTTCGAGATGACCATTACTGCCGAGTAGCTTATTTGCCATCAGCATAATACATACGAGATAAGTATTTATGCATTCCTTGTTTATAACATGAAATATCTTAGCGGTACACGTTTGTTGTTGGTGCTCTGTGTTATTTTCAGCAAAGTTTATCGAATTTATTTATTCTTTGTTATCTACTCAGAATGTGCATAAAAATAAACAAGAACTTGTTTAGGAAATTTTAGTTTAGGTTCTGAATATTGCAGAAATGTCATGCATTGACTGCATCAAATGTTGTCTAAGTCGATATGAATCCTGAAACGGGCATTTAAAAACGAAGAATAGTTATGGTAAACTGATTAGCTTTTGCACTAAGGTAATTCAATGTTGGTTCTAGAAAAGTAGAGTATAGCAGTGAAATTCTATTAAGAATCGTAATTTGTCATTCTATCCCGTACTGTGGATAAGTGATGTTGCTCTAAAGGGAATCTTAATTTTGGTTCACTTCTCTATAAAATACTCTTGAGCTCATCATCTTTACTTCATCTATAGTAAGAATATGAAAGAAATTTTTTTAAAGTCTTGAAGCATGCGCTTGCATAACTGGCATACTGAAAGCAGCAGACCAAAAATGCAGTCGAGCAAATTAGAATATTGAAAATTGATTTGGTTGGCAGGGAATTCTAGATTTTTAGACAGCGATAGTGATTTGGTTAAAGAGAGGAATGAACCAACCGTGTTGCTAGCAGACTTATAGCAAACGATATTTATGCATATTGAATGATTGCCAGCAAAACGATAACTGATACCATATCCAGTTTTACAGACAGCCTGAAAGCCGCCGCCAAACCATGAAAGATCGGGATGCTTATCTTCATCTATTTGGCGTGTCACATTCGGCGTCTGTAATGAGTGATTTTTTAATTGCAAAAATGAATTGGTATGTGATTTATTCTATATGAGGGATCAATTTATGTACAAAGTCATTAATTTCAAAACATTAATATATTGTATTCTAAATTGAAGAATAATTTTCAATGGAATGATTTATGTACTTTTTTGGATTTGATAAAAATGTTTTTTTTTTTTTATATGGAAAGATGTTAATTTGATATAACCTGGCTTGTACTAAGTTCCCAAGGTTGAGATATATAATAATCCAGTAATGGACTATTTATACCAGTCATCTTGCTTAGAATATGAAGAACAAATAAATGTCGATCAACACCATTTCCAGTTGAATATTCTTTGCTGTGAATTGCATGGACTTCAGCTGCTTCTTTTAATAATTTAAGACGTTCTTCGTTCTGAAATAATAATGGAAGTGTGTTTTGTATAATAGATATGCATAGATTTCAAAGCAAATTCAAGGTGGACTGGAAATTTACGTTGCTTTCTGGGCTAATCATTGACCTAACAAATGCGCATGATTCTTTTGTTACAGGACGCAATGTTTCTGTCCTTGAATTTGCATAAAACCTTGCTGATATCGATTCGTAGGTAAGACAGAATTTACCTTGATCCTAAAAGAATATATGAAATTCTCGAAAAAGAAATGTATTCATTCTAATTGAGAAATGTATTCAAAAAAGAAATGTATTCATTTCTAATTATGTTAGAACGTTAGAAAGTTAGAACATTCTTATTCATAAAAGAAGTATTTAAATTAGTAAAGAAGCGATGAGGAAGTTAAGAATTTCTTATTGTAATTAGGCATTGCCAAACTTTTCTACTAATTATTAAGAAAATCAACTTTAAAGATTGCTAATTGTATAGCCATTTGAACAAATGCATCAGGTGAAATGTCAGCCTTTTTGATAAAACCTTTGCCAAAATCGCGAAAGACAATGCAAGCTGCATCGACATCGTTGATTTGTTCCTGATAACTGGTATAACAACGAGTAATCTCTGCCTTCATCTAAACAGTATCTTAATTCTGGGAATTCTGCGGTATTCTTCCATCGGGAAAGATAAAATCAAAATTGTGTGCATAATATACATATTCCATTTTTAATGCAAATTCCATTATTAATATTTGTTTGTGCAATAGAAAGGATTAAGTAAGTGAAAGAAACTAAGAGGAACAAATGCCAATTAGGCTCAATGAAAGGGAACAGAAGTCAATTAAGTTGAATGAAGAGGAATAGAAGTCAACTGAACTACCATAATAATAACAAGAGGCGGCTGGGCCAAAGATGGGAAAATGACATAAAAAGAAGCCATAATTAGCATGTAAAGAGAATAATTAATTCTTCATTCCTTTAGTTAAATCAATATAGAAACTATGAATAAGTAGTTATAAAGAAAAGAAATTTTTAAATTCAATTAGACGGCATAATCAATGTCTCAACAGTAATATCGGAAGTTTCAACTAATTAATCTACAAGTAATTCAAGAGTTAGACTTTCCATTTTATCTCTTTTAATAGATTTTTTGCGTTAAATTACTTCACATATTTTCTAATGAAAAACGAGAAATGCTACAAAGGTATGAGTGATATTCTCATGAATCATAGTAAAAACGTAGATGGTAAATCAATTTTTAAAGCTATTCAAAATTTTTACCTGCTCGTTAATATCAAAATTCAATCGAACAGCATACTTTCTCGTTGGAGAAAGATTGTTAGGCCGTACTACTTCGTCCACCTTTTCTGGATACCTATAAATTATGCTTGACAAATTGAACAGAATAGTGAAATGGTATGATTGAAAGTTGCAGAAAGTAAAAAAGAAAGAATAAGATTGCTTGTGAAAAAAGAAGAAACTTAATGATTGATGTGGAAATCAGTGGAAAGATAATTTTCAAAAAGATAAGCAAATTCCGCTCCATCAGCAACCGAATGCTCTGTTGTTCCGCCACTCTAAAATGTGATTGAGGAGATCCATAACAAATAATCAGTTTTCATATATCGTATCAGAAAAAATTGTCATGTTTCAATTTTTTATATTTATATTTTTTTTTTCTTAAATAAGAATAGAGATAACGAACTCTCCCATTTGGAGTAACAACGTAATTTAATGATTTATCCACCCAACGATTCTTTCCATCACCACTTAGCATATTTTTTAAGAAAATTCCCAGCGCTTCCTATAATTAAATAGAATTATTGTATGTGAAATGCAAGTTATAATGCATTGCATGCATGAATAACTAATGCATTGAATATGCATGTAAGTTGCATAAAAAAATTACTCACCGGAGAATCATGGCTATAATTAGTATCATCAAGTATCAGATAGAAATTAGCCGATTCTATCACAGCTAAAGAAGCGCAATTTATAGCATTTTGGAGAAAAAATCGACGACGATTTAAACACCACTGATTTCGAGAATCAGTTGTTAACGCCGCAATTTGACCCTCCACTTCTCCAACACTTTCATTACGAGTTAGCAATTCCGAAAATATCCTTAAATAAAATATATAAAATGTATGTCCTAGAAATGAAATAAATACATTACTGCATTTATCGGTCGTTAAAGAATGAGCGAAAATATGATATAAAATTAATTTGAAGTAGGAAATTCTGTTTTAAAAATTAAATTAGTATGTTAAATAACTTAAATATTTGTCTAAATTTAACACGCAGTAGTTCCACTTACTCAGTAAGTTCGTCCAAACTGAGAATACGATCATTTTCATCAAAAACATCCAATTTGTAAATGCAACCTCGATAATAAACAACAATGTGACGTGAAGTTCCACAGTACACATCCAAATGATCTGAAATAAATAAATGATATAATTAATTTGTCCTAAAATTATCATTCGAAGCAAAGATTTAGTTGTAATCGTTCGAGAGTTTCAGGAGTTCTTTTTTTTTTTTGTAATTCACAACATTCTATTTCACCACCTGTTCTGTTACTATCATTTGTATTAAAATGTTTGAACGATTGCATTAAAAAATTTTAACTTTATTAAAGATATTTTTCTCATATATTGCTATATATGCAAGTCGCTCCGAGGTTAAAAGCTAAAGTCGCAATTTTTTTACTATTCTATAGATAATAAGCATGGAGTAATACCCATAATTTCCCCCGGTACTCGTGTTGTTCCATAGCATTTCCGGAGATGCGACAAACTAATAATTCCTCCGGCTATCTGCAAAATCATTTACAATGAGTAAATAGACCGAGTTAGATCAAAGTATAGAGTTTTGTTTTGTTCGATCGATAACAAAAAATAATTTTATGTAAAATCAATTTCGTAAGTCGCACAACTTTACCAGACATCGTATTTATTTCTAATCACTAAATTCTTATTTTCTTTTTATTCTTGATGAAAGCGAGATTAATAATTTTAGAAAATCGAAAATGAGAAGAAGAACGTGGTTCAAATCTGAAGTCTAAAAGTCAAAAAAACACAATGCATAAAACAGTGTTTGACAGCTTCTTTATAATAACATGCTATTTGATGCTAGCCGAATCACTAAGTTTTATTAATGAGAATCATTATAATCGTACGCTAACTTTTATCAACATCTAATATTTGTTTTAAAATTTTAAATATTTATTTTACTCAAGATATTTCTCCATATTCAATTCATTTATTGAGTTTATATTGAGAAGTTCTAATTTTTTAAAATTAAAAATTACTCTCTCATAACTCAATCTTAGATTATATCTTTAATGGCTTAAAAATCGTTTCTGCGATATTTATAAACATGAATATCGATCATAATAATAAATTTTAAAATATTGGAGAAAACATGAAAATTTTTGAAGAATTATGTGTATGAGGTAATTTTAAATTAGCAAAACGGTATTACATTGCAACAATTTCAATGAAAAATATTGAAGTGTGGATTAATTTTCTTTTCTTTTTTTTTAATCTGTAAAAAAAATTTTTTAAAATTATTGCAGATAAATAAATATCTTACGGGTCGTAAAGATTCCCGATCAATTGATAGCATACTCAGTGTTTCCAACAATACAACGTGTGCTGCTCGAACAGCTTGGTTGGCTGGTACATTGACGAAAACATCCTGAAATAATTAACTTTTGTAATAATTTAAAATTGCATATTAAATTACATTTTGTATGTTAGCCATTGATAATTGATAATTTGTTGTCATTAATGTTATAATTTGGAGTCTTATCATATTTAAGATAATTTGAATTGAATTATCTTAAAGAATGATAAAACTCCAAATTATAACATTAATAAAACATTTTTTCTACAATTGAAATAACAAATTTGTGCATTTCTTTTAACTGAAAAAGTTTGCAACATACTTTTCATGTTGATTTAAAGGAAAAATTGCTTTTTTCTTTTCTTTTTTAATTAACATATAAGAATTAATTATTATATAAGAACACTAACTAAATGTGCAACGCTACTATTTATCATGACGCCCTTCCTCATATATAAATAAGCATATTTCTCCCATAAGTCGGTGACCTGTAAAATGGTCTTTTTTTGAGTTTTTTAATTAAGAAAAGTCGATTACATTTCAATATTTGCATAAAATCTTAATGATATATCTGATTTTTCATGTCCGTCACGTACGCTAACAATAAACGTAGTTCAAATGAATTTTGCTTGAATCTTATCTTAAGTATCAAAAAAATATGTTATCATCATGCTAATTAATTTGTTTTAATTTCACTATCTTACATATATGAAATTGATTTACATAATTGCTGACGAAGCACCAATAAACCCATGCTAATGCCTGAAGTTTCCATCCTTCATTTTTTAAAAAATTCTCAGCCATTTTCTTTACATCCATAAATTCATCCTACAAAAAATTAATGGATCATTAATTTAAACTGTCAATGAATACTTTTGAGTAGTTAAATAATTTAGCAAACAAAATAATTTGCTTTCAATTTAAATAAAGTTTTCTTTGTCATTTAATTATTTAAACTTAATGCAAAATAAAACTACTTTCAAATTTATTTCGGACTTCAAAGTTACTGCTGAATTAAAAATACCTGATAAAAAATTCAAAACGAGGAAAAAGTGGATAAATTAGGAAACTTATGATATTCAATCTAACAATG